ACGACGATGATGACGACGACACCGATGATGACGACGACGACGACGACGAGGACGAGTATGACGAGCGAACGCGTCACACACGAATCCGTTTGTATTTATCCAGTCCCGTATGTGATGTACTGCTGTCTGGTGATTCCCATGCAACGGGTAGATTTATTCTCGTTCAGATAAACATTCTACACTGAACAGAACTCGCCAGTTCAATTACCATTCTGTCACCGGTAGTTTGTATCAGTAAATGAATATCCGATAAAAGGGAGTGAACAGAGAAGAAAACCGAATGAAATCGAACAGCATAGTAGTCCCGTGAAAACCGCACAGAAGCTATAGGATTGTGCATTGTGCTGTTGCCGGCGTTTCTCATTTGAACCCGGAATTTCAAAAGATCATTGGCATGTTTGTGACGGAGATAGATCTCCATGCTACATGGACTGGGCAAGAACAACGAAGTGATGATCAGTTGTCAGTAGTTAGGGTTGAGGTTAACTGTATAGCCGGACACGGAGGAACATTGCCGAAATATGTGGTTGATATATTCGTTCGCCAAGATTCCTTCTAATAAAGTGCCCTTTAGGATCTGCAGTCAGTAGTGTGATGTTCATAGTAGGATCAGATATAAATGATACCAATACCTCTCGTCTCATTTAATCTCCTCGATAGGGATTACCATATGTGGCTATCAAACCAAACTGCCATCTCCTAATTATGTTAGAAAACAACGTGATCCGGTACAGACGGTGCAATTTGAAGGTGGTGTTGTCACTTCGAAAACAAGTAGAAAAAACGGCCGGGGACTAACTACTTGCAATCGTGCTCCCGAGAACCTCTTTCTAAGAGCGACTGAGGATCCAGACATTGTTTCAGAGAAAACTTTAAGGCACAAACTGACAAATTATAGAGTTTTAGGGTGCCAAAAACATGGATCGAGGCAAAAACTGATAAAATCATAAAATCACATAGATTTTGTTCCTGGACGTGTTTGCTACCCTCATGCAATTTGTTGGTGTTGGTATGTTCGCTGAACTGTAAATGTTATTTACAGATGTTTCGTAACCAGGCCAGTCGACAGTACTGGCCAGTCTCCGAGATCGCACTGAATGCGTTGCCTAGCCTGATCACGAAACGTCTGCAAACAACGCTCCTAGCTCCGATAACACCAACACCAACACAACCGCATCCTGAGTTACACTCTCTCCGTATTATATATACTTCATGCAATTGGTTTTGAAAAGTGCAGTAATACTGTACAAAATATCTGTTACGGAAGAATTTCTCTATGTTTCCTACTTCCTTATCCTCCCCATCCTCTGGCAGTATCGTTCCCTCAGTTCATAGTGTTCCTGTGTTTCACAAACCCTCACATACCACCCCCGTCACCTCGGTCCTCCGTCTCAGCTACAACTACTCAACTAACCAATAAACCATCCAAACACACGCGAAACCCAATTCCAGATTGCATACAACCCCTACCGCTGCGTACGCTCGCGAGTATCTGCTCAGACTCTCTGCTGATTTGAAACATTTGGATGACACCTTCGTGTTACCTCAATGGAAACAAAGTTACTCGTTGATTTTTCTCGTTACCGTACTCACGATCCTGTACCCACAGCCGCCTACTGCTGTAAAGCGTTATCTACAACAACAACAACAACAACAACAACAACAACAACAACCAAAAAACACGTGCCGCAGTGGCAGAAGCAAACAGCTCACTCGAGCCCCACCGGCACCCATCAGCGGTGAATTAAGGTAGGGAAAAATCAACGATTCCAATGTACGCGTCTCTTACTCCGTACACAACCAATTTCGTCGGATAAACGAAACAAATGTTTCGGACTATAATAATAAATTAGTTTGTTGCATATCGTCAAATAATTATTCATCCATAAGATGCTTACTTGAAAAGACGACAAAGCATACCTTGTTCTCACTAGTTGTGGGAACAAACCAATAGCCTATTTTCCTTGAGACCTATCTACCTTTTTCCATGACTGACAAATCAGTCCATTGTTTTTTATTTCGTCGTGCATTTTGGCGAATAAACAAATCAAACTCGGGAACAGAGGAGTTCAATCAACAGATCATCGGTCGGAATTTGATCACCTGTTCTCAGCTGAGTTAGTAGTAATAAATAGACTAAACTGGACAGATCATCAGATCCTGTCTCGGAGTGAAACCGGTGCACACACAGAGACCAGACGGTTGTCTATCAGATTCAGACTGATAACAGGGCCTCGCTTGGGAAATAAATTATTTGTATTTGGGGATGAGGAGGGTTGGTGGACCTGTGTGATTTACGGAACAATCAGCCATACAGACTTAAATAGCAGTTGGTAGTTGGTTATCAATCCGATGAAATCTGGAACCAATTACGTCAGAGCTGCGTCCAACGCACTTGGTCTTTGAGGAGTTCTATCGGTCAACTAGTCTGCATTTGTCTTATCTTAACAGTACAATACAACACACACGCAACAAACCTCGTTGAATTTGCCCCACTTTGTGCACTTTGTGCGATGAACCCGGTCGGAATTCTCGCAGTTTTTTGCCTCTTAACTGTAGCCATCTCACATCATTGTGTGATATGTGGTCTACGGGGGAAACCCTATGATAGTGGAAACTGACTGTTCAGCGATGAGAATCGGAAATTTAAGCCTAAGGTCCGACGAGTAGAAGTACACATGATATACAATGAAGACGGATATTTGTATACATATATGAGTAGCATCTGAATGATTGGAGAACAATACCGCGGAATCACATGATTGGTTTCGCCGTTCTTGCGGCTCCTGTGGGGCATGCGTATCCGGTAACCCTTTGTCCAATCATTCACATATTAGGATTATGGAATTGAGGCGTAACGGTTCAGCTTTCATAAAAGGATTGAACTAACTAATACAGGGTGCAATAAAGAACAGTTTCGATTCCCTTTCACCTATTAGAAATTCGCCTGAATACAAAAATCAATAAATTCGCGCTTACCACAGGGACCTTCTTGAGCCACATGAATTTCTCGTTGTTCTGCACAGGCCGCCACTTTGAGGAAACATTCGTTCTCGTACATTTTCCCGTCAGTACCACAAACGGGTTTTCGTACCTGAAATACGGGTGCAAATACGTGTGTGGTCTGTATGTCAGCCTCAGTTGATGACAAGGGGAGAATTCTGATTCGGCTTGTGGACAGTATGAAGTTGAGTAAACGTGAGCACCTACGTATGACGGAACAGATTAGATGGTCTGGTGCACAGATGACAGGGGATTTTTAAATACGACGAACCGAACAGTGCAATGGCGACTAGACATACGTGTATGATAGACGTGCACGTTGGATGAGAAACTGGTTGAATGAATTTACATTTACCGATTCAAAACGGCTGTACTGTTTTTACAACTGGAATTGTTCGCTATAATTAACCAATCACAACTTGTACCCCAAAAATTCTAAATCCTGAATGATTTTCGTTTCACATTACTTAAATTCCTCTCAGTGAAATTGGGCCCGTGTTGTGCTGTTTTATTTTCCCGTACCAATCAGCCAACTCTTTATTCGTTCGTCATTCAGGGCATAAGTTTTCAAACATAAGATGATTGTTATATTCTCCTCCAAACCTGACACAGCTATGTACCGCAAGTTCATGTCTGTAAACAGTGAGTCGGGTCAAACAATGGATGCTATATCGATCACCCGCAAGCGCATCTGTTCAATTGAGAATGGTTGTTTCGTTAAATTGACTCTGTTGTCCCATACTCCACTCAAAAGTCCCCTTCAACTGAATGACAATCACATTCTCTGCTAGACTACGTTCACATTGCTGGGATATTATTGCTAAGGTGTGAGTGAATGAGAGAGAAAACAAACTGCCAGTTTCCAGGTCGATCAATCACTAGCAGGTGAAGTTGGCAAACCTTGAACCTAAAGCCTCTATGGGGAGACGAATAGATCGGTCACCAGGACTGAGCAACGACAGCATTGAGAAACTTGGACAAGTGAGTCGTGTCCGGTGGTATGGAATTTGACAAACCGCTCCAAACGATCTGCGCATTCACTGCATTATAGTTCGTTCAGTTGGGGTTGATTTGTCAGAAGCTCCACAAGACATAGCTCGCAAATCAGCATCGTAGTTCCACTTGGGAGATTTCGTTTTAAAGAAGCAGTCGACGACACGAACTTCGTAAGAGAAAATTCAACTGCCTTAGTGTTTTTGCATTGCATTCATTCTCTTTTCCTAGTTTTGGTATCTTCTCTGTTTCTTATCGGTTAATACATAATAATAATAATAGTAATAACAATGATAATAGTAATCATCATCATAGAAACAATGAAGATTACTCGGCATTATTTCCTGGACAGAATTTTAGTGTTTCGGGTTTGGAATTCCAGTTTGGCTTTTGGGCATTGGTTGCTATTATAGTGCTTTGCAAGTGGGGATTTCCAAACAACATGATCATTGATTTCATAGTTGCACTAAAATACTTACGTTCTATAAAAAATCCACTATTCGAACAGAATTCCCCATCCATATTTACTGGCGGGTGGGTCTGTGATGTCTCTCAGCTGTTATCAAGTCGTCACCTAAAGTTCAGCGGCTAGGTATATTATTGAAACCGTCTATGATCAATTTAGCTGCCCAGCTTAGATTTCGCAGCACTCATAGACTTGAGCCACTTGGACTTGTAAAGAGCGGGCTTGATGTACTAAAAGAGTCAAAGCTTTCGACTCCATGTCTCAACTTCCGATCAAAAAACTCTCTCATAATAGTGATCTATTTTTGAGGTTTTGTTTCGCCTACGTATTGTCTACGGATCCTCGCATGACGTGACATCTGTTCCGTTATGTGAGCAACACGATTGAGGGGCGAAATCGGAGGGTGATCTTCAGGTTTACGCTGGGATGCTTAAACTGTAGATCCATGATTTTGATATGGACTTCATGAAATTGGACCTGGCGAGGTAGGGGTCACCTTGGAAAGACGACTTATCGTTCACGGAAGAGTATAAAACTACGGAGAACAGTGTTTATTTTGTGATCAATCTGGCACCCTGGGCTCTTGAACCTTCATGCCATCTGAAAGGATAGAGTTAGGCCTGTGTGGCTAGATGAACCCCGGTCATAAAGCCCCAAATTAATAGAGAGACCTATATGTTCATGCTTATATACAACAGGTACCAGAATTTCGAACCCCCGTAGCGGTTCACTATTGAGCAGGTATTTGATTGGCCTAACGAAGATTCCTGTTTCCCATCCCATGTTTCCCCATGTTCGGTAGGAACCCCGGATTTTGTCAAAATGAATGTTGAAACTGATCTGAATTGCTCATTCGATAGAGATCAGTTTGCTCATATTCACGAAACGAAAGGCTACTCAAATTACGCGGACAGCGATCTGTAAATACAAGAGTCCAATTTTATCAACACTTTTTGAATCCTTCAGTGATTTCCGCTGTTATCATTCTTGTTGAAGTAAAACACATTCGTTCAACTATTCTAAATCGTCTCACCGGATGTTCGCTTGATTGGGACAAAGTAAGATTAGCCATGCAGATAAATATCGAAGGAACATAACCGGATCCAACTTTGTAATAGTGATTTGTGGATGAATCGGTGCATGAACAAGGATATTGCCGGTTGATTGTGATGTAACACCCACGTTTTTGCCTAGAGAGGAAATTGTACACGCGTGTGTGTGTGGGGTGTGTGTGGGGGGGGGTAGTGGTAGTGTAGGGATGTGCACAAATACGCACACTAGGGGAGACAAGGAGAAAGAACTTACGTATAAGCAGTCAGTGGGACAAATACATTCCGGTTCCCCTAGCGGATTCAACCGACATTTGGCGTGATACGAGCAATCCTTGGTTTTACACGCGTCTGCAGATTTCCGATCCATGAAAATGATAAAACGGGGTTACATGGAAGAGCGGAGGGGGCGGGATGGGGTGTGAATTCACGATTAGGATTTAGATTAGAGCGCAGTTAAGATTTTATCCTGTACTACAATGAGTGATTCCATACGTATTGTAGGTTTTTTCGGTAATTTGTCGAACCACGGATGTTTGAGAATTGGTTTTCTTTGCCGAATAAGTTAGGAATAACAATGAAAAATCAATAGTCGGAATGCACCCACGGTTGGGTTTCACTTTCAGCGTAAGGTACATCGTCGTGTTCAGCTATGTGACGGCACTAATGTTCTCCCGCTATCGGGCTTAAATCATCCTCAAAAAGGAGAAATACCAGTGTGATGCCGGGCGGATTCGATACATTTATGCAAAGCTTTTGGGTTACATTAAACCACATTCATACAGCCGTGCTGGTTAGGTTGCGTAAGTCATCTCCGCATTGCCTCGGAGATTATCTGTTTGAACACACCCATACATACAAAGCAGCATCACACTAAGCGTCTCAGTATATACAGCCAAATGGAAACAGAATTAGTTCAATGCGACTGGACTGTTGAAACTGATCAACGGGTTGGTGCAATCACGATACCTTCATTTCATTTCAAGGGAACTTTTGAACACGGTTTGCAATCCCGGCAATCCTCTAATACTCTACTGTAGAAGTCCCATGAATGGAGTGATTTTGTAGTTCCAATGGTCCCTCCACTCTGACAGTCGTGTTCCAGTGTACACTCCAACGGCTACTTGGACTCTATAGAACCACGAATTTTTATCGGGCTGAGTGGACAAAAATCTGCTTGTACATGCTGACCGATTAAGTTGATTTTCTTCGCGGGAAAGTGATCTCAAACTACGCTGACTTTCTTTACGGTGCACCGAAATAAGTTTGAATCAAGATACAGTATTCTGATATTAACTACTCTCACCTGGTGGATATTGCGAGTCCTAGTTCAAATGGGGTTCTCACGACGGTATAATCTATCCTAATCCTCTCGAATTTCCCATTGACTCGAGGTGAATTTTATGATTTAAGGCGATCAATACGTCATGCCAGTCGTAAACATACTACTCGGGAACGAGTAACAACTCACGCAGATCGCACCGTGCAGACGGTTCGTTTGAACCCTGTTTTGTAATGAAATAACGCGTAAGGTAAACAATATCGTTCACGGAGAAAACGAGGTGTTTCTCTCCTCATACAAAATAAAAGAAAAACTTTGTATTCATAACGGAGGACTTTAGACAATCGACCGAATTGTGAATCACATGTAAAGTATCATGAAATATGGGCAGATAATTTGGATCTGATTCTCTCAACCGTTGTTTCATAAAAAGATGGAACTATGCACGATTCTCAAGGAACGTATCAAGGAGCTGGACAAATAAAAAGCGACACTGTCTAAGGGAAAATGACGGCACAATATAAGTTGTTGTTGATCTAAATGAGGACCTAAACGTGAAACGTTGCGTTCAATTGCGAACCAAGTTAACAAGGCTAATAATCAGTTGATGCAATTGAGTGGGTAAGCTAGAGAAAGGCTGGATATTATCAAAGGTGTGGCGCGAGACAGTAGGACTAGTACCATGATGCAGTTTTAATTTACAACGATCTAACATTCGGGAAATCAATGCATCAGTGAACTTGAGACTTCACAATTTCAAGCAAGTAGTTAGTGGAGGATTTAAGTCAATTTCATGCTAAACGTCTGTAATACACTGAGTACAATAAGCGTGAACTGAAAAGTTTGCAGAGGTTTCCACTTAGCTCGGTAGAATCCATCGATTCAACTGTGGACCGAAACCAGAAACTCTCACAGGTGGTGTGTGGGCATTCTAATCATTTCACTATCGGAAAGCTGACTGAACTATTTCAATTTACTTATACACAGTATAGCACATAAATCATCTTTTCAAGCTGGTCGATGGTAGTTTCCCTCATTCGTCCCAGGGTCTCAGCCTCCCGAGTTGTAACACGGTCGAAATTATTCCGAATCTTACTAGTTTGCTTTAAGCGAGCTCGTGATTCCGCATTCCAATCTGTGTTTGTCTATATAACATGATCTCGCAGAAATTAACTCTTTCATCAAATCTGTCTCGATCTGAATCACGGCATAGACCTTCCTGTAACGTTAGGCACGTTGAGCACAATTTGCCGCCACATTGGATTGAGTGTGAGTCGTGTGCATGTCTCTCACTGGACCTTTTGGTTCATGGTTATTTTGTATTTTTCCCGTTTTGCAGGTTGTTTGGAAATCCCCTGTTCCACGGAGAACCTGTCGTCCGAAGTGTCTTTTACCCGTGCATTAAGAGCGTCTGTACTGGGCCGCATTTACTACGCCCCAAACAGGGTTTTGTTAGAGGCATTCTGAGAACGCTATTGGCACCAGGAACTCGGATAGTGTTACCCGAAATCAACCTCCAGCCGTGTATTACGAATCGCTGGCAGCGGTGAACTGTCCTCCACGTTACACTTCCGTGTGATCAGTGACACCTGTGTATGGAAATAAAACCGTATTCTGTCAGCTCGACGGAACCCTTGAGTTCAGTGGCCCAGTACCTCTGAAACAGGAAACGTTTCATGGTAATACGGTGATCTGCGAACATACGTCAGTGTGTGCGTGTCACATTATCCATCGTATTCTGTTGGTGGTTATGGTCAACCCTGGAGAGGAATCGGTGAAGAAAATGCTACCAGAAGTTCAATTCTTAGAGAAGGAGCTGGTGAAACTTGGAAACTTGTTTCGCTAACCGTTGAATTACCGGATTTACTTGCAGATGAATTTGGCAGGATGAACAGTCCTTCAGAAAAAGTATTGAAACACACACGGGGTACTTACTCATCTGTTCGAATAATATGTTTGTGATTCCAATTTTATTGGGTCAGTCGTGAATTCTACGGGATAATCTACTCACATTTTAGACGATAAAATCCGTACAGACGAAGATTGTATATTTTATTGAAACAATTATCTATAGCAGATTGAATACTCGTGACTAGACTAGAGGATGGAGTTCGTGTACCGTTAGGTACATCCCATAATAAGGCATTTTCGGAAAACCCGTCTGTCATATAAACTAATTCGCACATATTGCACAACCTTTCCCATCCAATCATATTCCCAATGTGGTTCGTGCGAGAACTTACCACATGGACCACGAGCTCGCACTTTCAGCTGATGCAACTGACGTTGGCAAGCACTGGCCCGCAAATGGCATTCACTTCGATACGTCTGACCGTCGGTTCCGCACACCTGATCTCCAATCCCTCGTTCCGGACAGGTGGGACACAAACAACGGGCCACGAGTTGTGCTTGTTGTGTGGTGGAAGTGATGCTTTTCCACGGATTGGCGTATCTGGATAGCGGATCATAGACGTGGGGTGCAGGTACTCGGGAACAGATTTCGTAACCCTGACACTGAAGTCCAAGTGCTTCACAGTGCGGCTCTTCACCTTTGATATTCCAGAAAGTAACAGAAGACAAGTTACTAACTAATGCGGGAATCACACATTAATTGTTGTGCCAAATCAATTACTAAATTTTCAAATAAAAATCCGTCCGAAAGCCTCACTATGACCGGGTGGTTGTCTTGGATTTTGGCTGGTCACCTTTCCCTTGAATCTCGTAACATACTCCTTTTCAACCAAGCTTCCCAAATAGGCGCTGCTGAGGAAGCCCTACTCACAGTATTCTTGTGGTGACGATGTGTTTCCATCAAAGTGAGAGGACGAAAAGCCAACAACCGGGATTATAACAGGGTTTGTGATCCACTGGCAGTTCAAAAACGGCAGTTACTCGAAATTCTTTTATTCGAAACCAACAAACAGGTGTAGGAAACACACATTCACCCACACCTTCCCGATTTTGGCAATGGTCACCTCCTCGATTGGGCATCGAAGTGTCTTGGGCACCTTGGACTTTTGACTCCGTGAACCGGACACCGGCCCCAAATTGAATGCATATTTCACAGTGTCGCGCTGCCTTGCGAGTTAGACTTTGGCTAGTCAACGGGCTCCGATTGTGAATTTTCTAAGAAAATTTGTCTGTTATGGTTTGGACAACCTGGCAGTTCGGTGCCAGCACAATCAAAGATTCTTCTACTGTGATTTTTTGGCACACGATTAGTACTCAGACGAGTATGAAAAAATATGTGTATATAAAAAAGTGATGGGTGAGATTAAATCATTTCATACAAATAACAAAAAATGAATCACTTATATCCGTTCATTGGCAATGATTCCTTAGTTGGAAAAAATCACCGTACGCGTTTGTTTGGAAGGAACGCTCACAGCGCGCGAGACCTTAAATTATAATGAATCAACTGTTTATTGGTAAGTATGATCAACAGCACATATCTGTGGAATGCAAACTTTTCAGAAGGGGTGCTTTTTCCATGGATCCTTCCATGGCTTTATCGTGTTGCATGAAGTTATAAGTGCGATTTCAGTACTGGGGCAATCTCAACTACAATAGGTTTGTTTTTTGTTTGTTGTGTTACTTGTGCTGTTCGAGAAGATTGGGAATTTATTATACATACGCAGATCTGTGATTCGATCCCCAACCTGTAAGGATGGGACGCGTTACCGATAAACTCATTAAGGCTAAGTGGGAAACGGCAATAATATCTGTGAGGTTCAGTATAGACAGACATGGAGAAAGAAGGAAAGGGGTCCAAGGTCAATTCCGGCTATTTCTGATAACCTTTTACTAATATGAAGTGTCAGGCCATGTTGCATCATCACTCATAACTGCAAACGTCTGAAGACGACGTTACGAAACCAGACTTTCCAATGGAGCGGTTGTTGCCGAAGGTATCTGCGTTTCTCGTAAACCACTTTGCACACTAAGGGGTTATGTAACTTTATATTCAGTATCGCAGTAAAATATCACTGTTTATCCTTGTTAAATTAAAAATACTTGATATTTTTTATGGTTTTGTTTGCCTATATCTGGTACTTTCGACCACACGAAAAGTTCGACAATGTTGGGTACGGATGCCTCAGTAAGGGACAGTTTATTCATTGTATACAGCATCTCTGCAAACATGTATTTTCCCAGATTTGGTGACTAGAGGACAAATATACAGATTCGGGGAGATTATCAACTGGTTTATATGTCCAAAACACATAAAGATACAGGACCAGTCTAAAAAGACAGATGCGAAACGAATGCACTTCATATATGATTTAGGCCAGTCATGAATGTGTGTTACACTGGTTGATAAAAACGGAATTCCAGGAATCAAATTTCAATTTGTATGACATTATCTCTCATCTATGGACGAAATCAAGCAAGTCCCCAAATGTATTCGTTCCCACAGATCCGTTCCCTTGTGTCCGGTTATTTTTAGTTTTGATATAATCAGAAGTGACCGAGTTTGAAAACAAAATATCAGTATATGTACTTTTTTTAGAATTTACCATTTACATTAACACGAGTTGATGGGAATGGGATCTAATCAAGCATCAAATGGGTGTCCGTCCTTTTTATATCCTTTTATAGAAGAACCACATTTGTTCGATCCTTTTCCTGTCCTACAGGAATCGAGATTCAAAGAATAGCCAGAACTAATTCACAATTCACCTTTCTGATTTACTCCACTCGAATGAGCAGGACGACAGAATAATTTAATGCAACGATAGCAATAAACTTTAAACCCTTTTTCGGAGTAGTTAACTCGAGTGAGTCATTATTTTGTCATTGAGTTGAATTTTGGAATTGATTATCCGCAGCTGAGTGTTAAAAAACATTCATTGACAAATTCCAACAGCCCGCTGAGTATGCAATGCGAAAGTAAAACAGCACTGCAGATAGGTTCGAACAACAACAAAACAACTGTCCAGAACTCTCAGCATTCTACGGCATATGAAATCCCTGGCTGTACCCGTTGGAACCGTATGCACACGGGCGATTCAAGGGTCATTAGACTGGATAAGATTTTCTGTTGCGGGGGCAGTGTGGATTCAGTTTGGCAACTGTGGTCCGTACGACCGGGTCGTGGTACCCATTTGGTTTGTATGTGAACCGTTGGAATGAGCGTGCAGGGAACAGTGTGACTACCGACTAATATTTTTTCTGCATGCATGTATTAGATGCGTGAAAAAATACGAGTGCTGAGTACCGCTAATGTGGCAAGTGCATGTATACAGATCGGTTCGAGCGGAATTACATGGCATTTGATCTGCCCTTGAGATATTTTCCTTGCAGTTCGGCTAATATAGATATCTTTATATGAGCACGATTGTTCACTATCCAAATCAGATTCAAAATCTAGAATCAATGGTTGAGTTTCACGTGATACAATCAGCCCCGTACTAGCTAATCGTAATACATAAAGGTCACTTCGAAGTTCGTTTCCACACAATAGTAAGTATGAGCATTCAAAAAAGTTTAAAAGCTTGATAGGATAACAAAGCCGTATATGTAAATATCTTTTCAGAATCCATCATATGATAAATAACCAGCTAATCATGAGGCTAAAACACAACTGACTTACTGCATTGACCTCCATACAAAATGAAAATGTCCCGCATTTTCATACAGGCCGTACGTTCAAGATGACAGTGACTGTCATAGGTCACGTGGTCGCTTCCACACACAGGAGAGACCACATTGGGACAGGGTTGGGGACAGACGCATTTGGGCTGTCCGGTTTCATCCACTTGACATCGTTCACCGGCCCAGCGACACGTGTAACCCAAACAAGGATTTGCGGCTGTCGAAACAGAATGGATTGAATGATTGAGAATTGTTTCGAAGGTTCAAGTGCAAAAATACAATTGTTATTTTTGTGGTTCATACAGAAATTTCGAGCCGCGTACATACTGATGGAATTCGAGAAGTGGGTCGTGAATTACCCTGAGCACAGCGGAAGTATGGGCTACCGGAGTATACGGACGGAACGGAACGGAACGGTTGGGGCACTTCCCGAACCTGTTCAAAATACCTGATACTAATGCAGAAAATAGTATCTAAATGTCCACATAAATACCACAGAGTGAAGAGCATACAAATCCGATGTAAAAATGTAAGTGATTGACTTCATACAAGATTTCCGGCCACGTGTGCTAAATGAATGACAAAACCGACGAAGCCAATCCAGTACTTCATTGGGAAATTTTCCCAGTCAATCCAATGTAAATTATTGTACAACAAAAGAAGTAAATAAACATTTAAATGGTATTTATCGATTGTGGTTGTCACACAAAGGGAGATAACAATTCGTACAAGGGCTTCTCAGAGAAATTCTATCGGAAAAGTTACACGCAGAGATGTTAACTAAAATGAATTTTGCGGAGAAATCAAAACATAAAACGAAGAAAAGCAAGCCTACAAGTAGGGAATACTGATTCACCTATCACATATACTTTTACACCAAATTTGAAATGTGCATTGTACATCCACGATTAGTGAACTGCACAATCTGCGTGAAAATGGATCTTTTGATCTCTGCAAGAGAATACCAGTAATTGTCAGAATCAATTTGCATGTAAAATAGCAACCTCTGTCCAAAATAATTTACTAAAACAGTCTAGGAAAGCCTCAGAATCTCACAGAAAGTTTTCACCTTCCTTATTCACCTGTGGCATAACGATACACCGTCTTGCTGTTTCACTCATTTTTTACTTTACCGATATTCGCACGTCCGCAGGCGAGCTGAATAGTACTCCCATTCGTTGAGGCTCTTAGGCTCGAGCCCTAAACTGATGCAGTCACTTTGCGCGGGATAAAGGAAATCTATTGCCTATCTGTGTTCGTTGGTTGGCAGACTTGAAGACATTTTCGTAGTTATCCTTTTGTGAAACGATCGCGAACCTCTGTATAACGCATATTATATCAACTGTACTACTGGAAGACGATAACCGCTATGGTCATTTCACATATGGCCCCCAATTCAGCTTATACAAACACAGCAGTCAACATATGAGATAACCACTAGGACTAGCTTTCCTTTAATCACGGGAGTCCATTGAATGAACTTTCGAATAAAGCACTTTTTTCGAATCGCATTCTCTAGAAAATATTGACGTGCTTTCATCATATAATCCACTTATGGGATTCGAACCCCGTAGTAGGGGCCGCCTATATAATGCAGTCTATCAGCTGAGGTACGAGTTTGCATCCAGTGCTTTGATCTTTTCATGGATAATTACTTAATTCATTTAAAGATATCAATGTTCACCATGTAAGCAAGTGAATACGACAGTTATGGAGCACAGAGGTGTTTACTGATAAGCTCACAAATGAAACTGAAAAATACCCTAGAGTACGTTGAAAAATTAATCGCTTTCCGACAGCAATGTGATAGGTTTGATGAACATTTTCCAGTGATTTTCTGAGCTACAGAATATATTCCTTGTATAAATTCATTCGATGAAATATTTGCTTAAATTGACTTTCGCATCGAGTATAAAAATGAAGTCGTAGGTGTTTATCATTATTTTGTTCAAGATTACATAAAAGGATCGAGAATAAGTGCTGGCTCACTGTTCACAGTTACCTGTTGGGTGGGATTCGTCGACACGGCTAAATATTTTCTTATCTCTGCTGTGAAGATTGACTGAGAAATTGTGTGTATTCAAAAAAAAACGAAACTGTACCCAAGATTTTTCCCTGTAATGTATGTGAATATTGAAATATCA